TGTAATAACATTTTATCGATTCTGTTATAAATGTAATGACAGTTTATTGCGCTGGGTAGTGAACATAGTGACAGTTGATCTATTCTAGTAGTAAATGTAATTACATTTTATCCATTCTGTTATAAATGTAATGACAGTTTACTGATCTGAGTAGCAAGTGTAGTGACAAGTTTATTGTTGTAGGTAGTAAATGTAATTGTTGTTTACTGACCTGGGTAGCGAATGTAAATGGTCCCCCCCCCCCCCCCCCCCCCCCCCCGCCAACTGGCAAAGCTCTTAGAATCATTAAAGCACATAAGTCTGCCACCATGACAAAGCACCACCACCACCACAGGATGGAACTTTCTGACATATGGCCAAATATATTTCATATGTTGCTCACTAATTAACTGTATGTTAAATTTCCTTACTAATCTTTGCCTAATTCCTTCATTAATCTCTTCTTGTTTACCCGACAATTCTTCTCATTTTCATTCTTGTCACAATGTGGAGCACAATTTTTCGTTATTTTGAAGCCCTACCCCGGCTGTATTTGGGGGCCTTAAATAACCTAATGGCTGAAAAGGGTTTCTGGGACTTGTGCCTGGGTGATCCTCATCTGAATGGTGGCATTTTGTGCCACTGTGTGCTGGTCGCTCGTTGTATGGTCCTGGTGTGGTTGAACAACACACATAGCTCTTCTCTTCATGTCTAATTATCAGCTCTTCTAAGACATCTCATGTCTGATTATCAGCTCTTTAAGCCATCTCATGTCTGATTATCAGCTCTTCTAAGACATCTCATGTCTGATTATCAGCTCCTCTAAGACATCTTATGTCTGATTATCAGCTCTTCTAAGACATCTCATGTCTGATTTTTAGCTCATTTCTTTTGTAGTGATGGTTAGTGCTCAATAATGGTGGCAAAATACAAGCCCTAAAAAAAAGGAAAATAGCTGTCATAAAATTTGCCTGAAAACCGCTGGTTTATAAAGACAAATACTTTACCATAATTTTAGCTTGGATTCTCAGCTGTTTCAAGAAGGCAGACAATTTTTGTTCCTTCACAGAAGAATTCTCAGTAACAGATTTCACACACAAAAACACTCGTAACTCCGTATGTGACTTCCATCGATTCTGCATGGTCAAAATGCAGGCTAACTGTAGCATAAACAGGCACGTATTGTCAAAAAAGCTGGCAGTTTCTGGGCGGAAGAAGTTTACAGGCCATACATCAATGTACGATTTGAAAGGAGGTTTGAGAATGGCATCTTTGTTTAACTGCTGAAAATTGCGGCAAAGAAATACATTTTTCTGGATCTTAATAGCATCCTGGATGAGTTTCACGTATTCATCAGCCGAGAGATGTTTGCTTGTACCTGATCTTGGAGACTCAAAATAGGCTTCAATATCCGAGAATCCACCACTTTCTATTGAACCAAAGAATTTTCTTTTCTTATTAGCCTTAGTCTTCAACAGAGAATCTGACGGAAGACTATCATCAAAAAACCCAAAGCAGACAGTATTGACTTTCATTCCTCCGAGACCAGACAGCCTTACTAAATGTTGAAATCCTTCCGAGACGGTACTAGCTAATGTCAATTCCACAAAAGCTTTAATTTTCATGTGGTTTACCAGCTGCAGCCATCTTGGAGTCTCTTCTAAGATCGGATCTGAGGAATACTCTTCCAGGGTTCCTGTTTTCACATGCCCTATGACGTACAGTCCAGATTTTTTGATGTCATTGCAGAAATCCATGAGTTCACAGCTCTGCCTGGGATTGGCGACCATGAGGAGGATTTGGGGCCTCCAGAACTTGACATGGGACTTTCTGGGGTCCAGCATCAGTAGGTACTTGCGAACCTGGTACAGAAATAAAAACAGGACAGAATTTAATTATCTTGCAAGGGGGGATGAAATAAACTGATTAGTCTAAAGCAGTGATACTCAAACTGCGCTGCGGTGCCCCGGAGAGCCGCTACCTCATCACAGGGGTACCACAAAAATTCAAAGATACACAAGTTTTATTTTTATTGATCTCTTGCATACGAATAGTCATGCTTTTACTTAGGCTAGTGTGGCCGTGGACAATGTTTTATTGATCTCTTGCATACGAATAGTCATGCTTTTACTTAGGCTAGTGTGGCCGTGGACAATGTTTTATTGATCTCTTGCATACGAATAGTCCTGCTTTTACTTAGGCTAGTGTGGCCGTGGACAATGTTTTATTGATCTCTTGCATACGAATAGTCATGCTTTTACTTAGGCTAGTGTGGCCGTGGACAATGTTTTATTGAAAAAAGGTGTGCAGCAACCAAGAAAAGTTTGGGAAACACTTGTCTAAAGAATTAGATGAAGTTTACAGTCGAGACTTAATTTCACCGCGGTTTACCCCATACAGCGTTGTATGGCTAGATGCTGGTCAATATCAAGAACACATCTACAGCAATGATTCCTAGGGATCTCTATAAACATTGCACTAGTCAACCAAACAAAGCAGTTCGTGACATGAATCCATGACTGCCCAATGTACAGTGACATCAACTGTGATAACACAAAATAAAATAATATAACCAGGAAGGAGCCTACAAATCCAAAAGTCATGGGTTAAAATCTGCATGGAGCTTTTTTTTTTTTAAACATGGCATTGGCTTCCAGGTCAACCTAGCATTAAAAGGGTACCAGGTAAAGTCATGGAAAGCAAAAGTGGTCAGCTGGATGTTGTCCATATTACCAACTGAGGTCTATAAAAAACATGAGCTTACCTCATATGTCTGATATGTCACTGGTGTGTAAAGGGACCTAAAGATTTTTACTTACAACATAATCACAGTTAGGTGTTGAACTGATTTAAGAACCAACATCACAGCACTCAGGGAAGTCCCTTAAGCGCTCCATCCCATCTTCAGCAGCCAGCGCAGAGTTCCAACATCAACGGTGCCAGTAGCATTCTGATTATACTTCTGTCTTGTCTTTCTTCTTCGTCACTCCCCACTGCACCAATCTCACCAGACTGTGATGATCCATTTGCTCCTCCGAAATGTGCACGTTTTCCGACAAGGCCCTAACCACATCTGCTTTATCATACATCAATATTCCACCAGGTTGTAAAGAGCCAGCCAGTCTGTCCACCTGTTCATTTCCTAACACACCAGCATTCCCCTGAGAAAAGATCCATAAAACTGCACATAACCACATCACCCATCTTGTGCTGAATAGTCAAAGAAATCACAGCTCTAACATCATACACCCATCTTGTGCTGATTAGTCAAAGAAATCACAGCTCTAACATCATACACCCATCTTGTGCTGATTAGTCAAAGAAATTACAGCTCTAACATCATACACCCATCTTGTGCTGATTAGTCAAAGAAATCACAGCTCTAACATCATACACCCATCTTGTGCTGATTAGTCAAAGAAATCACAGCTCTAACATCATACACCCATCTTGTGCTGATTAGTCAAAGAAATCACAGCTCTTACATCATACACCCATCTTGTTTCTTTCTTTCTTCTGAAGATAGTGTCCATGTTTGACAATGGTAGCATAGGGCTGGTAAGAATATAGTGTTGAACAGTGTTCTTTTAGCATTCAAATTCACACACTTGCATTTCAAAATTGGTGCCATCTGGCCTAAAGTTTGATTGACTTTATTGCATCTTTGTTGAGTTTCTTTATTGAATTCTTCCATCTTCTGAATAATGCTCTCCAGATTTGTAAAATAATGTGCTTGCTTTAACTGGTGTTCATCAATTTTGATACTAGTGGTTCTTCCTTTTCTGGAGAATGTGACCACTTCTGTTTTGTCACATTCTGAGTGCAGTCTATTCATAGGTTCTTGTAGTTGTACTGCTGTTGGTACTATGTTTGTATGGTCATCGGTAAAAAGTAATTCATTTAGCAATTCTCTGATGTTGTCCTCTTCGCTGATGTTAGCTGATTTGGAAATTTTGTTGATGTGTTTGATGAACAGTAGTGGTGATAGAACGCGCCCACATAAAACTCCAGATCTAATGTAGAACTTTTCTGACATTCCTGTATTTGTTATAGCGGTGCACTGACTGTTTACGTGTAAACTCTTGCACAATTTAATAAGGTTATCCTCTACTCCATAATCCTGTAGCACCATCCATAATTTATCTCTACTAACTCAATCAAAAACTTTCTCTTGGTCTATGAATGTGATGTGCAATTCTTTATCAAATTCTACCATCCTTCCCATTAACTACCTTAGTGTGAATATTGCATCACTACAGCTTCTGTTCTTCCAAAATCACATTTGTCCTTTATTAAGTTGTGGTTCGATGATAGGGTATAGCCTTTTTTTTAAAGATATTACAAAATATTTTCCTGGTGTGGCTCAGTAATGAAACTCGACTATACTTCTCCAAGTCTCTCATGCTGCCTTTCTTTTTCCATATGGGTACTATTTTTGCATTTCTCCAGTCTTCCAGTGTCTCTTGTATTGTCAAGACTAGGCTGAACAGTCTGTGCATCTATTTTATGCTTACCTCTTTATCATCCCTTCATATCTATGATTCAAGAATTACCCCTTATATCTATATCATTCCCTTTATTATAATTCAAGAATTATCCCTTATCTCTGTGTCATCCCCTTCATATCTCTAACTCAAGAACTACTCTTTATTTCTATATCAATCTCTTTATATCTCTAATTCAAGAATAACTCCTTATCTCTATATTATCCCCTTTATATTTCATTCAAAAATAACCTCTTATCTCTGTAACATCATCTTTATATATCTAATTCAAGAATTACTAATTTTCTCTCTATATCATTCCTTTTATATCGCTTATTCGATAATTAACCTTTATTTTGGTATTATCACCTTAACATCTCTAATTCAAGAATTACTTCTTATCTCTATATCAACCCCTTTATATCTCTAATTCAAGAATTACTCATCTCTGTATCATCCCCTTCATATCTCTAATTCAAGGATGACTCCATTCCCCTAAATTTCTTCACCTTCGTAAAACACACAACACAAACAAACCTGGTGAAATATGAGCGCCTGGCTAATGGAGCCCCAGGTGGAAGGAAGAGACCGGAAGTGAAGAACAATGGCCAGTATCAGCATGATAATGAGGGAGACGCTGGCATAGATAGCTGAAATCAGGAAACACATGATCATGCAGCCAATCAGGCCAGACAGGCAGGTATACCAGGAGAAGTACACAAATGTGGGTCTGAAAGAGATCAGGAAATGTTTATTACTGTTTCGGAAACAAAATAGGTAATGTTTATTATAGTTTCTTGAACAAAACAGGTAATGTTTATTATGGTTTCTTAAACAAAACTGGTAATGTTTATCATGGTTTCTTAAGCAAAACAGGTAATGTTTATTATAGTTTCTTGAACAAAACAGGTAATGTTTATTATGGTTTCTTATATAAAACAGGTAATGTTTATCATGGTTTCTAAAACAAAAGAGGTAATATTTACCACTGTTTCTTAAAATAAAAAAGGTGATTTTTATTACTGTCTATTTATTCCTGTTTCTTATTTTCAAATGTGTTCAAACTGTAACACAAATTTATTGAACATTTCAATCCGCTGGCTTGTTATTCATGTTGTATTGTTCATTGAAGTAGACTTAGGTCAAAATATCCAGCTGATTTCTTCTTCTTCTTCTACGATTGCCTTTGAAACATCAGTTGGGACGCTGTGATGTGGTTTACAGCTAGGCTGTGATATCTATGCCTTTCAGCCCAACACTTTCACCCAATTTCGGTAAACTAATAATTAGTCAGCTTTTACAGCATGCTTGTTAAGTGTCAGTAAATCTATTCCCCCCCCCCCCCCAACCCCCAATTCAAAAAAGTGGACCTAGGGATCAAGTGTGTTTTGCATGTATTTTCGTTTTTTTAGCTTCAAAGTCTGTGATGAAAACATGAGTGACTGCAGTCAAGCTAAAACCAGTCCCCGGTGTCAGGTAAATAACTAGTATAGTAGTAGCACCTCATATAACCTTGCTTAATAAGCTGAATGCTGCATGATGAATTAATCAATATCATAGCACTCAGGACACTCCTATAAGCACTCTGTCCCCATCTTCAGCAGCAAGCAACAGATTTCCATTCCGACGGTACCACTAACTGACTATACATCAGCACCTTTTCCTTGAGTGTACAAGTGTTGGCCAGATCTCCACAGCGCCATTCTCCTCAGACTGTAAAGATCTATTTGTGCCTCCGTGCTGTTCACCTAGTCCTTACAGATGTCCTTACAACATCTAGCTTGTCATACATCAATTCATCACCAAATGGTGCAGAACCAGCCAATATATCTGCCTGCTGGTTTCCCAATACACCGGCATGACATTGAGAAAATATTCAAAGGTGGTTAACTACCCAGGACCTCAAAAGTGATGCACTCCACTCTCCACCTTTCTCAACATACTCTGTGAGTTGTGACATGTGTGAACAGTCTAATAAACTGAAACATGGGACACCATAGATTCAAAAGCTCAAAGTGTAAAATGAAACAGGCAAAGAACCTTCTTAGGCATTTGGCACATTGGATAAAGATGCTAGACCAAGATTGGTATAGACTAAGTAAAATATGTAAATTATTCATTCCTCCATCCATAGTAATTCTAAACTACAAACAAAAACAGCAAAATCAAATGGTTTGCCCACTTGGAGAGAATGCCTTCTGATGTTCTACCATATAAGGCATGTGCAAAAGAGGAGAAGGACGTAGATCAAGAGGCTGACCAAGAACAAGATGGGAAGATAGCATTAGAGAAACTTTACAGCACCACGATGTGTCTGTGGTCGAAGCAGCCAGAAGAGCACGAAACAAGACCTTATATCTTCCTCAACAATCGAAGCAGTATAAAAGAGGATGTAAAGAAGAAGAATATTCATTCCTTCAATCTTCATTTACTCATTCATTTCTACTTTGTTTTTCTTCCTTAACTCTTTGAATCCCAGGGGGTTTAGCATCACAGGCCCAAGGGGTAGTGAACAGAAACATAAAATCAGCGCATCATATGTTCATTGGGCTTCTAGATAGGAATCTATGAACGTATGATGCGTTTCTTGGGACTGAAACAGTTAAGTCAATGCTGTGTGGCGTGGAAGTCATGTCTATCCACAACCTTCTGTCTTGTGTACTTTCAATCAACTCTAATACAGATGATCCTCCATACCATGATGTCAAACTGTCCAGCATCTTTTCTCTTGGTCTCCCTCTGCCTCTCCTCCCCACCAACTTTCCTTCTGTCATGATGTACTCCAGTTTTCTCCCTTTCATCATGACCAAAGAATGTACATTGTCTCTTTCTGATGTGAGTAATCAGTTCTATTTGTGAGTCAGTTTCTTTCAAAATGTCTTTTTTACTTTTTTTAATGGTCCAGGACTTTCTCATCATTTGTCTATAAAACCACAACTCCACAGCTTCCAAATAATTGTTAAATAATCTACTAATTGTCCATGATTCACTTCTGTATATCAAGATAGGATTTATGTAGCTTTTAAGAATTATCTTTCTCGTCTCAATTGACAAAGAAAGATTGCATAAAACATTCTTCATTTTGTAAAATGCTGCCTTTGCTTGAGCTAATCTACATTGAACTTCTTTTATACATTTTCAATATGATGTTATCAGGATACCTTTAACAAATGGCAATTACCTAAAGTTTGGTGCTGAGGCAAGCTCCAGGGAAAGACATGCCAGATTGACAGCAGCATATGACAGCAAAAAGAACACAGATGTGATTGGTGCTATCTCATTCAATGATCCGATCAACAGCACCAGCTGCAATAGGGAAATCAGACACACTATAAATAAATACAGTATAAAACCCTGGCACCAACTAGTTGGTGGGTATTGAGTCCTCTAGTAATAGTAGTAGAAGTAAAGGACCCTTTACAACGCCTTTCAGGCGTACTAGGTATATAGGGCTAGACCTATATTTTATAGACCAGCGGCACAAAATGGGTAATGTGGTCAGCATCACGCCGGCTGCCTTCACTTCACAGGACAGCCCCTGGTACCCACTCAAAGTTGGGTCGACCTGGGAGCCAGGGTCATTTTTGAAAAAAGTCAGGCAGCGAACCCAGGACCTTCCGATCCGCAGCTGAGCGTCTAGCCGCTACGCCACAGCGTAGCAGTAGTAGTCATTTATTCAAAAATACCATGTTCAATACATCTGGGATACTACTGGGATATATATTTTTTGTTTTCTGATCTTCCATATATTATGTGGAGTCGTCATGAAGTAGCGCTAGATGCTTGTCATGAGTAGGATTGTAACTCTTCGCTTGCTGCTGAAGATGGAGACGGAGCCCTTTTGAGGGTATCCCGAGTGCTGTGATGTTGATTCTTAATTCAACATTCAAGGTCATGGGTTCGGGTCCTGATGTAGAGTAACTTTTTTTTTTACTGACTTTAACTCTCAGGTTGACCCAGCCTTGAGCAGGTGTCAGGTGCAGTCCTGGGAGTAAAGGCGGCCGGCGTGATGCTGACCACATCCCCCACCAAGTCTTCATTGGTCTATAAAATATAGGTCTAGCCCTGTATGCCCAATATTCCTAAAGATATGGAAAAGGATCCTTTACTGTTTTTTTTTACTTGACTATCAACTGTAGATGGAGGCCTCAGAGATGTGGTTTTACAGAAGAATGCTTAGAATACCTTGGACAGCCAAAAAGAGCAACCAAGAGGTTTTGAAAGAGGCCCGAAGACAACTTATCACAGACATCAGAAGGAGACAGTCATCATTTTTCGGCCATGTTATGAGAAGAGGGAAAATAGAACATGTTAAGAGATAGAGGTAGACAACGAGAGAAGATGCTTGACAGTCTTGTTGCATGGCATGGAGGTGTGTCGGCACACGAACTGATACATGCTGCAGGAGATCGCAGATTATGGAGAGGCATGATCGCCCACGCCCGTCGGCAAGGCACCTGATGATGATGATGATTAACTGTAAGCAATTCTTCTTCTTCTCATACATTCCCCCTGAATCAGGCGACTGGAAAGCAGTGATGTGGTTGAAACCACGGCTACAAATAGTTAATTAGTCGCCTTTTATGATATACCTATTAGGGGTCTGTAGGACTCTTCCTTTGTGTGTGTGTGTGTGTGTGTGTGTGTCTCTGAGCATGCTTGTGGATGCATGTGTGCCTGCGTCCACGCATGTGAGCCTGCATGCGAGCATGCATGCCTGCATGCATGTGCCTACCTGTATGCATGTGTGTGTGTGCGTGTATGTGTGTGTGTGTGTACATGCCTCCTGGCCTACCAGTGTGCATGTGTGTGCGAGCGTGTGTGCTTGCCTGTATGCTTGTATGCCTGCGTGTATGTGTATGAGTGCTTGCCTGCCTGCGTACATTTGTGTGTGTGCAGCCTAACAGTCAACCACAACATAACGTGTGTGCTTGCCTGTATGTGTGTATGCCTGCGTGTATGTGTATCAGTGCTTGCCTGCCTGCGTACATTTGTGTGTGTGCAGCCTAACAGTCAACCACAACATAACGTGTGTGCTTGCCTGTATGCGTGTATGCCTGCGTGTATGTGTATCAGTGCTTGCCTGCCTGCGTACATTTGTGTGTGTGCAGCCTAACAGTCAACCACAACATAACGTGTGTGCTTGCCTGTATGCGTGTATGCCTGCGTGTATGTGTATCAGTGCTTGCCTGCCTGCGCACATTTGTGTGTGTGCAGCCTAACAGTCAACCACAACATAACATGCCAACTGTCCTGTTAAGGGTGAACGCAGAAAAAGAAAATTAATCAGGTGGCTTTTTTTTTTTTTACAATAATGGTTGGTTGCTATTAATAAACACAAAACTACACCCAGGCATGTGTACTCAATGATTCAATGAGTATTATCCGGAGGGTTCAGGCAGGTTTAGTGTGAAGGCTTTAGTTTGAGTCATTACAGAAGACCACTGTGCATGGAGTCACTTTTATTTTTATTCTGGGATATGCAGGCATTAAAAGAAATGAAAGAGCTGATAGGCTGGATCTGCTATCACTACTGACGGTCAACCTATGGATCATGCTGATATTATTTATGCCTGCTGAGAAATGGGAAGGGTGGAGGAATTTGGGGGCAGTGAATCCACGTCACTTACTAGAATGAGTTGAGATCGGCATAGCAAAACACAAGACGCACACCAGGCACATCAGAGGATTGTACATTAAAAAAAAAAAAAGGTAAAGTCGGGAGATGTGAACCAGCATCATTGCACATGGTTATAAACCATAAGTGCTCTGCCACCAGTACGGACAGCTGATAAGAAACTGTCCGACTGTGTCGCCGTCCTCACGCAACTCCGTAGCTATAGCGACGTTCCTCCATAGCTATAGCGACGTTCCCCCATTTACCCCAGAGTGTTAGCTCTGGTACCCATTTCCTAGAGGCTGCGTGAACCCCAGGAACCGCCCAGTTTTGAACACTGGCCATAATCTAGATTTGAAAGCGAGTCTTCTATCGAATGCGCTAACGCGGCCCCAGAAATTAAATATTAAATATTATAAATATTACAACCTATAATACATTGATAAACTACAAGTTTCAAATGAAAACATGAACTCTTTACTGACTATAGTTTTGCACCCACCTGAACAAAAAACCAGGTCATAAAAACACTGAGCAATGGGTTGCCACCCTTGGTTGTCCATGTTGCAGGTTTCAAAAAGAACCCTAGAAACCAGAAAATGATCAACTATCAATAACAGAACAACCTGTGAGACCTTCTTCTCTTCCTCATCATAGTGTTGGGACAAGATATAAGAATCTTCTGTGTGCTATTTCTCATCATTATCATTATCATCATCATCATCATCATCATGTGACATGCCAGCAAGTGTAGGCTGTCATGGTTCACCATCTCACACAATCAACAGAATCATAGAACAGGTCAATGTTTTTGTCTTGCTCTCATCCACCTTGAACTCATCCATCAGGCGCTGATCCATCTGGCGCTCATCCATCTTACACTCATCCATCTTGCCCTCATCCACCTTGCACTCACCCATCTGGCGCTCATCCATCTTACACTCATCCATCTTGCCTTCATCCACCTTGCCCTCATCCACCTTGTCCTCATCCACCTTGTCCTCATCCATCTTGCCCTCATCCATCTTGCCCTCATCCACCTTGCCCTCATACACCTTGCCCTCATCCATCTTGCCCTCATCCACCTTGCCCTCATCCCTCTTACCTGCATCCACCTAGCCCTCATCCATCTTGCCCTCATCCACCTTGCCCTCATCCATCTTGCCCTCATCTATCTTGCCTTCATCCATCTTGCCCTCATCTATCTTGCCCTTATCCATCATGCGCTCATCCATCTTGCCCTCGTCCATCTTGCCTTCATCCATCTTGCCCTCATCTATCTTGCCCATATCCATCTTGCCCTCGTCCATCTTGCCTTCATCCATCTTGCCCTCATCTATCTTGCCCATATCCATCTTGCCCTCGTCTATCTTGCCCTCATCCATCTTGCATTCATCTGTCTTGCCCTCATCCATCTTGCCTTTATCCATCTTGTCCTCATCCCTCTTGCCCTCATCTATCTTGCCCTCATCCATCTTGCCTTTATCTGCCTTGCTCTCATTCATCTTGCCCTAATCCGTCTTGCCAAGTCCTCCAGGTATTTATCTCTTTGTCTTTCTCTTGCTCTCTTATTATCAAGTTCTTGAGTCCATTCCTTCTCATAATAATCATAATCATCTAGGAAGTCCTTTGCAGAGTGTAGCTCTCATCATGGTCTGCCTGAAATAAACTCGGTCTTCCACCAGCTCTCTCAATGTTCTTTCATATTGAAGAAGTCACTAACATCTTGTGCCTGTTTTCATGTTGGTCAGCCCTTGCCCCTCCTTCCTCGTACGCTTTCATAAAGAATAGCTCTATTATGTACCTCATGCAAAGCATACAACAATGAAGAGTCAGCAGGCAAACAAAGAATAATACTGTCCTTTGGATATTTTGTTCAGGTCATGCCAGTGTTTTGGGAAACGAGCAGGCAGATGGATGCCAGTTCTGCACCACCTAGTCGTGAATTGATGTATGACAGGCTAGATGTTGTGAGGGCCCTTGAGGAGGCACGAACAGATCATTACAATCTGAGGAGAATGGCGCTGCGGGAAGTTACCAGGGAATCTGGCTGATGCTCAACACTTTAGGGAAAGGCCAGATGGATACACAATCAGACTGTTACTGGTATTATCAGAATTGGAACTCTTCGCTTGCTGCTGAAGATGAGGAACAGAGCACTTATGGAAGTGTTCGGTGTGCTGTGATGTTGATTTAACATTCAACATTCAGGCTGTTCTTGATGTCTTGTTCCACTGTGCGTGTGAAGTCTTCCTCTTGCTGTGTGACCATTATATTTCTTCAGTGAGGCTATTCCAGTTTGTACCATGGCCTTCTCATCAGATGGCCAAATCATCACATGTGTTGAGTGTTGGGCTAAGAACTAACATTTTAGCACTTGGGACACTGCCATAAGTGCTCCGTCCTCTCATTTTCAGCAGCCAGTGAAGAATTCCAATTTCCATGTTGCCAGTAGCAGTCTGATTATATGTCCGTCCTGCTTTCCCTCCAAGTGTAGAATGTCAACCAGATCCCCTGGTCACTCCCAGCTGTCCCATTCTCTCCAGACCATCACGATTGATTCCTGCCTCTTTGTGTTCACTTGCTAACAAAGAATCAGCCAGTCTGTCTGCCTGTTCATTTCTCAACACTGCATGCCCTGGAGCCTGGAGACAATATCCATAGTATGCTAACAACCTGCTGCATCACCTATTGCTATTTAGTGAACAGTATGATGGTTTCAACCCTAGACTTCTTCAACGTCAGTATTTTTATATTTGTGTTATCCGCCAAGCCCTTCTAAGACATCTCATGACTGCTGTAATGATTCTGCACTCATTAATTCACAACCCACCACCCTAGGCATGATGGAGTTAGAGGTGGTGAATAAGCAGACCAACTTGCAAGAAATGTGCTGACATCAGCTATAAGAAGGATGGGCATGGCAGATTAAGTCAATCTTTTTGGAGCAAGCTGGTGGATGACGAGTCTCTGATGCTAACCTGAACATGTGATTTGGAAGTGAAGTATTGGAACCACATCTATGCCATCTTCAAGGAGAAGTCAGGAGACTTTAACTGACTTCTCAGTGAACAATCAGTAGAGGTACCATTAGACGGCTACCACATGAGAGGAAATGAACATGTATGGGTATGTCTAATGTACTGTAATCCTTACTCAGATAACATCTTTGTCTTCTATTTCTTAGCGTTTACCGGCTGTAAACTCTCAAATTTCTGGGTGTTTGTCCACTCCTGGATTGTTGTTTTAGTACAGAACTTGAATTGTGCATGCACATCTGTTCTACAGGTCTGACTTATTTATATGCAGACTGTTGACTCCATGCCTCTAATGGATATGCACTCTGACATTAAAGAAAACAACCCTAAATAGCAGGCAGAAGGTCATATTTTTACTTCTCCACCCCAGTAACCTACATGAGGAATAATATAACAACTATGTGTGTTCTATCCAGCTACAGTTTAAAATGGGAAATAAAGGGATCAATTAGGCAAGGGCACCCAAAAGAGACTGCATGATGAACGTTGGTGAGAAAGGCCAAAACTGCTGGACTAGATACTATCTATGATATTGAACAGACTGTTCAAGAAAGAATAGAATGGAGGAATAGACTGAGAGCCCTATGTGACATATAATAGTATAACAGGATAATGAGTGAATGAATCCAGTGACAGCGTCCTTCATTCTGCTAACATACTTACAGTATAACTGGTCATTGCCAAGAGCTTGCAGGATCCTAGAACCACCAATGAGATTTCCCAGAGCTGCGGAAAGTGTTGAGGCAAATATCCCGATGACCACGAATGGTTTCCAGATGTTGACTTGCTGCAGGTACACGTAATTATTCACCAGAAGAAACCTGTTAAAACACAAAAAAATTTGCTGATAGACTAAACATGGCATATAATCTGGCAGGTGCCTTGTTTTCTGTATGCAATGAGCAAGAAAATCTCTCTCTTTCTCTCTCTCTCAATTGACATCTCTATCTCTGCCTCTTTATCTCTCTCTTTCTCTCTTTTCTTTTCTCTTCCTCCATCTCCCTCCCTATCTTTATCTCTCACTATTTATCTCCCCCTCTTCCCTATATATATATATATATATATATATATATATATATATATATATATATATATATATATATATATATATATATATATATATATATATATATATATTATTGGTTCTCTGTTGCATAAAGCTTAGTTTATTTTAGCATTTGTGTGTGTGTGTGTGTGTGAGTGCGTGTGTAAAGGTAGATACGCAGATGTGGTATGTATGTTTGTACATATGCATGTATGTATGTAGGTATGAATGTATGTAAGAATATATGTACATATTTTGTATGCAGGTGTAGTATGAATGTAAGTATGTATACAGGTGTGGTATGTATGCATGTATGCAGGTGTGGTGTGTGCATGTATGCAGGTGTATGCATGTATGCAGGTGTAGTATGTATGCATGTACGCAAGTGTGGTATGTATGTACATATATATGTATGCAGATGTGGTATGTATGCATGTGTGATATGTATGTACATATATATGTATGCAGATGTGGTATGTATGCAGGTGTGTTATGTTTGTAAGCAGGTGTGTTATGTGTGTAAGCAGGTGTGTTATGCATGTATGCAGGTGTGTTAAGTTTGTAAGCAGGTGTGTTATGTATGTATGCATGTGGAGTATGTATGTTTGTCCTCCTAATCTTTTCAACTTCATTCTCTAGCTCCCTTCTACATGTGTTTTTTGCTCCACCTTTATTTCTATGCCGTTGTGGGTTCCAGTGCAAAGATATTCTAGTTATTAAGGTAAAAATAAAATACTGCCTAAATGTGGATCTGAACCTGAGAATTTAGGGCCGACAGGCAGACAACCAGCTATGGCATTATCACAATGAGTTGAGCTGAGTTTAGTCGAGAATTGACATCACAGCAATCGTGGCATTCCCATGCATGCTCTGTCCTCATCTTCAGCAGCCACAGCAGACTTCCAATTCTAATGGTACCGGTCACAATCTGGTAATATGTCCATCCTGCCTTTCCTCTGAGGGTAGTGAGCTGGTCAGAGCCTCTGGTTACACCCAGGTGCCTCATTCTCTCCAGGCTATAATAATCTGGTTTCTCAACTGATTCCGTTGCTTGTTTCCAAAGGGCCTTGACCACATCTGCCTAATCATGTATCAATTCACCAACCATTGGTGCAGATCCAGCAATCTGTCTGCCTGTTCGTTACCCACCATGCCGGCATAGCCTGGAACAAAGATCCAAAGTATGTTCATTACCTGTGACCTTTCCAGTAAAGCTTGCCACTCTGCTTGAAGCATCCCTGTCTTCACCTTTCTCAGCATGCTTTCAGAGTCTGTTACAATACTATCACAATACTCTATGCCTATAAAATGCTTGACTATTAACCAACCACTGTGTTACAAGTCTGGACTCTGTATAATCATAGAAGTCCTATAACTCCATGTGTTGTTGGGTCACCAATTGCTTTTGAAAGTCTGATCAGCCCCTCCCTTTTTTGCTCCTGTTGGTCAGATGCAACTGACTTGATGTTTCATATCTGAGGCCTGTCCAGTCTGTGACAATACGCTCGGTGACTCCAGAATGACTTTCCTCAACCTACTTTTATTTGTATGTATTTTGAAGTATACAGACAAATAGGGATTTGGATACATCCGTAATCTAAATAGGATGACCACATCACACCTTTAATTCTCCTGGACCGTTGGTCATATCAAACACTAAAACTTTTTCCCAGATGTTAAGTGTTAAGGTACAGAGATAAGACTGACCAAGCAGACTTACTGACTGGAGATTTGCACACCATTTGTTGGTGTCAGATAGTTATTCCCCCTGCCAGATCTTCAGGAACAGATAACAAGGGCTAATTGCCATTATCTCCCCCTGAGGTTACCTAACTCGGCGGCAGGTCCGACGGTCACTATTGACACAGTGAGCGGAAAGCGTTGGCAGAAGAATTGACAAAGTCGGATTTTATTGTGATGACAGGTGAAGTAGACTGGAGGTGTGACTAGGCCTAATAGCTGGGACCAGCTTAATTGAACCTGTAGAATGTGAGCGTGGGAATTCAAACAATTGTTGTACAGTCACTGACTGACAGTGAATATACACCCACAGGGGAGGAGCTATGACATCCTTGAATGAGAATGATTTTAGGCGTAATGTAGGAGGAGCTTGATAAAAGTTATAAAGTGGTGAACTTAAGGTCTGGTAAATGAGATCCTGTCTAGCACATGCCATCTGTTGGGCTTAACCTAAGCTTGAGACAGAACTTTTGGCATCGTGGTTTCATTTTTCCAGGTAAGATCGAAATTAGGTTCAAATCTATATTTTATGATAGAGATCTGTCTTTTTGCTCAAGTGTGTGTCTTCATCACTTTGTAATACTCCTAGGCGGACATTTCTTCATTCTCGTAGGGCACTGTCACATTGCTTTATATCCTATTTGATAGTGTCATGAATGTTTTTCGTGCACATGTGTTTCAATGTTGTAAAACCTAAATGTTGTTGTTGCCAATGAAATTAAATGAACTATCATGTTTTTGAAATCACAAGCGTGAAGATAACTCTGGCAATCTTTTCACGCGTGGTTAATGTGAATCTGTATTACATACAGCTAACACACTGAAATGTGTTTAACTCTCGAGAAGCTAATGCGGAGATTGATCCCGGAGAGAAAATCCACGAGATTTGTTATTTGATTCGCCCCAGAACTATTGTTAGCATTCTGGGCGCGTCGATTGTTCCAAGCATAGATTCCAGAACTGGTTCTGTCTGACTGATTGTCATTTTGAGTCTGTACGAGAGATGGCACCTGACGTAGAAGACTTGACTATCATTACAGGACGTGTAGAGGAAGGCAGAAGATGTAACAGTTGGAATGTGAGACATAAGCCCTTCCAAATTGGACAGGAGTGAATGTGAGCATGAGGGAGAGATGAAATGTTTTATTTAAATAAACATGCTTGATGTTAGTATAATATACATGCTTAGTGTACATCTAGAGCAGATACTACAAACATGCGCTTGTTTCTTCATTCTCCAGTTCCCACATTGGGCAGGGACTAGTAGGCATCCATTATTTGCCGACCGTCGAGTGTAACGACCTGCAGAAAGCAGTGAGGACGACAAACTGGAAAAGATAGGCAGGGTCTCAAGCCGAGAACTGTCCTGACGGTGAATTCTCCTACTAGGAGTTAAGTATATGTACAAACTGTCATCAATCACACTCCCTCAACTCTACTAGCCTAAACAAGTTCATTTTATTTTAGTCAGATTTATTAAATAAATCTTTTTGATGTTTAAACATAGTTGAGTAAATTGTGTACTTAGGTTCAAGTGTCTTTGTGCATATTAGTTTACTTCAGCTAACAAATATTTAAATCACTTGATGGGGGCTTTTTAGCAATGCCAGGAGAGGAGACCAGTCGCAGGGGTTAACTGAGCACCTGGATTATATCACAGTGGGTGTATCCAAATATCTATCTATCCCTTCTCCTTCTCCTGTGGATACAAGTACAGCAACTTTCATTTCATGGAACGAGCCACTCGCTGTTTTCTTGGCTATCCAGGACTGTCTAGGATCAACATAGCTTAGATAATAGTCCAGTTTCTCACGTGGGTGGGCATTGTTAAGGTTCAAACCCCCACCCTCACTATATCAGTGTATTTACCCACGTGGGCGCGCGACAAGTCAGCCCAATTCGGTATCTTTGTCTTTCACAGTCTGCCTCTTCTCCTCTGCTGAGCCCAGTTGTATTATGTCTGAGATCTCACTATTTGTCTTTACCATTGCCATCTCCAACTTAGCCTGTATGGACTTTACGTGATCAGAAAAGTCCAACATCAAAAGAAGACTTGACATATGGAGGCCTAACCTGGAGGCTGTGCCTGATACCAGCGTACAGAGAATCATGTAGGTACAGAAAGTAAAACACACGGCTGACATGGTGCCTCTGGGAATGGCTTTTGATGGATCTTTCAGTTCTCCTGCATAAAGAATTAAAAACTATTCAGACTTCACAATGCAAGAACAAAGCTTTGGCATGTACTCTTTTAAAACTCTGGCACAACAAGTGAGTGATAATGCAGTTTTCAATTTAAAAAAAAAATTATCTTGTTAAAAAAAAACTACTACTCGGGTATGTAAAAAACAGACTCAAATGTTGTTTACCGTGTCCAGTGGATATGTGAGCTTGAACTGCGTGGGTTTTTATAATCGTTACAAGCAGTGGTCAATTTTGTTTAAGACTATATTTGTGAGCATAGCTCACGATGCGAGCAAGAGAAAGCAACACAATTTGTGGTGAACACTATTCACTGCCTATGCAATTGAAACCCTATAAAAGGATAGTGCTACACCAAAACGATCAGTTTATTTTCAATCAATAAATTTAAGGAATATTGCTATATTGGTCGATTGCAGGCAGGAGAAAGTCAAAGTCAGATTGCCAGGCATCTAAATGTGCATCAGAGTACCACCAGTCCACTTTGGCACCGGTTCCAAGCCACTGGTTTAGTTGAAGACCGACATCGCAGTGGACGACCCAGAGTGACAACAGCAGCGGAGAATCGCTTTATTCTTCTTCGTCACCTCAGAGACAGATTTACAACAGCTTCCTCAACTGCACGGGCATTGCTTCTAGGATGTCATGTGTCTGATCAAACTTTTCAGGATAGACTGCATGATGTTGGACTTTAGGCTCGACGACCACACCGAGGACCTGTCCTTACGCGTCGTCACCGCCAAAATTGACTTCTTTGGCCAACCAACATCATTCCTGGGCAAGTGAGAATCAGTGGGAGATGTGTCTGGTTCAGTGAAGAATCTTTCTTTTCGTTGCAGCGTAATGATAGACAGCGGAGGGTCTACCGAAGACGAAATGAAGGTTCAGCCCAAAATTGTGTTGATGAAGCTCTGCTGCACGGTGGTGGATGTGTAATGGTATGGGGAATGATCAGTTACAATGGAAGGAGTCAATTGGTGCACATTGAAGGAAGCTTGAATGTGCAACGATACGTCCATGAAATTCTTCGACCACATGTCCTTCCATTTTGGGATGCACAGCTGACCAGACAGTTCCTGGCTGCCAATAACATTCAAACCCTTCCCTGGAGATTCCTGTCTGCAGAAATGAGTCCGATTGAGCACCTGTCAGATGAGCTGCAAAGACGTGATTGTCGCCGAAACGTTGTTCCAGCCAATGGTCGTTATCTGCTCCAGGCACTCCAGGAAGAGTGGGCAGCCAACCCTTAGGCCAAAATCAGACATCTGATCACATCCATGCCCAGGAGATGCCAGTCATTGATCCATGCAAGAGAAGGCCACACCCCATACTAACGGGAAAGGCCTACGCTTAAAAACTATTGTGACCCAGAAGCAACAAAAAAAAAGTTGATTAGTGGCATTCTTGTGGGAAATTTGAGTAATTTCACAAACTGCATTACTAAGATGCAGAATGTCAAAATTGTGAGTATGTTTGTTCCTTTCAGTAACTGTGTGTTTCTTTTTTCTTTTTTTTAGTGTCTGAGAGGTCTAAGTAATAAAAAAAGACAGAAAAAAAATAAAGAGAAAAACTCACGAATTTCAGATTTCTTACATCTTAAGAGGACTCCCCTTTCAAACAATAATATCTCTTCCTCCTCCCTTCTCAGTACCATCATAGTAGGCACTGGCCTCGTCTCAGCAATACACACATATATATGATATACACACACATACACACATAAAGATAGACACACAGATATACATACATAAGCACACACAAATGAATCAAGAGAAGCTCAATGCTGGCTGACCTGACATGTTGGCCCCGTTGAGGATGCCGGTGACACTACTGAACAAGATAGCAAACACTGTGGCATAGTCCATCATCCTGTCAGTGCTGTAGTCGATGGTGAACTTACCTGCACAATAGTAAACAACATATTATCTGCATACAACGTATTATCTGCACACAACATCTTACCCATAAACATCATATATATCTGCATTCAACATTTTTACATGATATAAATATAGATATACACACGCACATACAATATATTACCAACATGCACCATTTGACTTTTATGTAACATAGTAAATAATACATACCTCCACATGCTAACACACACAAACACATCTACACACATAAATTCAAACACACATACATGCATACATACACACACAGGCAGACTCCATCCATACATCCATCCATCATCAATTCACCCCCCCCCCCCCCCACCACCACATGATCACATTCATACACACACACACACACACATGCACACATGTCTGTGCATGCTCACACATACATACACATACATACACACACGCATGCACACACACACACACACTGTCTGTCTTTAATACAGCACAGAGGGCAGAAGCAAACTAAACAGGGGATTATCAAATAAAGTAGACAGGAAAACAACAACAAAGCAAAACAAAGACCAACAAAAAAGCCACACAAAAAAACATAAAACAGCACACAATGAAAACACTCACTGTAAAGATTTTCCCTGAAAGTTGCAGCACTAAGCCCTGTGTACATCCCATATATAGTTTCATTTGCAGAGGCGTTGCTGTAAGCGTAGGTGTTGGTTTTGGGAATCTCCACAAGAATGGTATCTTGTTTCACAAAGGCACTGATGAACACTGACAGCGTTGCCACAACAACAGTCTGGAAGGCAAACTCTATTTTATTAAAACAAGGGACATGGCAGGAGGAAAGATCTAAACAATTTCAGTAACTCTCTCGTCCCAGAAACACTAAATGAATGGGTCAAGACTCGGCTGGAATTTGAGAAGAAATCCTTAACCCTTTCAGTCCCAAGGAATGCATCACAGGTATATGGGTTACCACCTAGACACCCAACGAATGCAAGATTTGCCAATAATATATTAATCTTTTTAATTTAGCATTTGGCAGTGTGAAAAATAGAATCCGCAGTTTTGATTAGTCTTTCCAATTCTTTATGTTTAATAACACACATACTGACCATTAGGTTTATTAAAAAACGTGGTTAAAGCATAAAATATAGTAAGTTTGTGAGTTTTATAGAGCCATCAAGTGTTTGTTTGAAAACATTATGGCTGCAAAGCACCATTTTTCATACATGCCAACATTTGGCAGTGTGAAAAATAGAATCTGCAGTTTTGATTAGTCTTTCCAATTCTTTGTGTTTAATAACACACATACTGACCATTAGGTTTATTAAAAAACGTGGTTAAAGCATAAAATATAGTAAGTTTGTGAGTTTTATAGAGCCATCAAGTGTTTGTTTGAAAACATTATGGCTTCAGAAGCCTCAAATTAGAAAAAAAAAACATGTTTATTAGATTTATCCAAAGTTAGCAAAGAAAGTAGTAAAGAAGACTTGTTTCCGTCATTTATACAGTAAAACTTTGAAGTGGGAAAGCAAAACTTACAACAGTAACTAAAGCACAAAGAGAATAAGCGGCGCCCGCGGCTTAGGTGTTGTGAGTCCAACTCGTAATTCCAACATACCCCGATCAAAACCCACTGCTGTCTGCATGGATTTTTATCATGGTATGGGGCGTCGCAGGTCGATCCAGCCTAAAATGGGTACCAGGATGTATGTCCTGGCGAAGAAAAAGACGGTCGACGTAATGTTGACCACATTACGTACCAAGGGCCAGCTCATCTAGTAAACATATGGGTGCTCTTCTCATATGCCCGTTGCGCCTGAAGGCATGAAAAGGGATCTTTATCTACTTTTACAAAGAGAATAAATACTAGCAAAAACTATAAATTTCTTCTGTGCCAGTTAATTCAGCCATTAGAATTGCAGTTCACTGCCGAAAGAAGCAGCAGTTAAAGCAAATAAGCATTTACATGTGCAAAAATATTGCAAAAAAATAACCAGCAATTTATTAGCAAAAGGCTTCCTGTCATTATCTGAATTTGAAGATCAAATTGCAAAACCAACTTGGGGACAGTCTAAAAGCCTTCTAAATAATGTCCACAGCTCATAGTGCCAAGCTGTGCACTTAGCTCAGTAGTTGGGTGACAGAACTTTACAAGTTTAGTCCACAAGTGACAGAAAACGCAACATCAAACCATGGCCAGAAGCAAATAACTTTCTAATACTAAAATGGTCCACCTGGCTTTCCACTCGACCGGAAGGCAGACATGCTAAATAACTCAGACGCACACACACACACACACACACAAAAACTTGTTTTCTACAAGTGTGTATTTAGCTTTTGTGAATATAGTGCATCTAAGTTTGGCGTTTTTATTACTGCCTCCGTCTACATCAGATGTGGCTTTCTGAGAAAGTTAATTTGGATGCTAGTTATTCTACAACAAATAACCAAATGAAACTTGTAAAGTATCTTTTTTAATGTGTGTCATCTTCATAGTGGAAGGGGGATGTACTTTGCAAATATTACCTGGGAAGATCCCAACCACTTTCATAGTGAAACTCTCATATCACCGTCTCAAAATTTACCTCGGCTACCAGGTGAACCCAGCTAAAAATGGGTACAAGGTAATGTCCTGGGAAGTAAAAACAGGCAGCATAATGCTGACCACATAGTCCACCAACAGATTGCAGATCGGTCAATAAATATATGAGTTTAGCATCACCTCTGAAGTATCACCGTTATAAAAAGTCATAATTTTTGGGTGGTCATTATCACAAATGAGGTGACTAAAGATTATCACTAGAACCACACTTATGGGGCCGCATTAACGCAGTCAATAGGAGACTCGCTTTCAAATCCAGCTGTGACTCGCTGCAACCCACGACCGGTGTTCGAAACCGGGCGGTTCCCCGGGTTCACCCAGCCTCTAGGTAATGGGTACCAGAATTAACACTCTGGGGTAAATGGAGGAACGTCGCTGTAGCTACGGAATTGCGTACGGACGGCGACACAGGCGGACAGTTTTTTATCAGCTGTCTGTACTGGTGGCAGAGCATTTATGGTTTATAACCGTGTGCAGGAACACTGGTTCACATCTCCCGACTTTACCTTTACCTTTTTTTACTAGAACCACACTGAATGCACAAATACATTACCAGCAGAATCAAAGCAGATGTTCTTGCAAACATCTCTCCTCCTACGATGCAGATCAGCAGACACACAAACAGAGACACTGAAGCATACAGGTATTTCCACCAATCAGAATCCACAGGAAGTCCGCTGGACTCGGATGTGAAGCTTCCTGCAATAAATGAATAAATTAAATATCATTTGCAATCACATGATTCTGATGCCATCAGCCTCTGGGGTTGTAAATGCAGTGCCATAATCCTAACATACCATGGTTCAAATCAACTGCTGACCATTTCACAGAAGACAACTACACATTTCATTTCTGGTAACGGTATGGAGCAATGACTGCTCAGGAAAAAAAAGGTAAAGGACCCTTTTCCACGCCTTTCAGCCGTATTGGGTCTATACGGCTAGACCTATATTTTTATAGACCAACTGAACAAGATGGGTGATGTGGTCAGCATCATGACAGCCGCCTTTACTTCCCATGATTGCACCTGGTACCCACTCAAGGCTTGGTTGACCCGGGAGCCAAAATCTTTTTTTTTAAAAGTCCGGCCACCGCCAGGGAGCAAACCCACGACCTTCTGATCCGCAGGCGAGCGTCCAGCCGCTACGCAAAGGTGATTCCCGACTGCTCAGGAAGCAATGGCCAAATAGGGAATGTAAAATGTGCCTATTAACATCACAACTGATCAGTTAGAATTGAATGGTATGACAGAACTGCTGATGTTCAGTTTTAGGAGAGAGCTAAACAAATTCCTGTGAACCAAAAGATGAAGAAAAGATGCTGGCATTGGATGGGAACACTGTGAGAAATCATGTGAGCAATATAATTAGAATGCCTTTGCTCTGGAATTCACAGGGGCACAGAAGTAAAGGCAGACCCACCCACCCACGCACGCACGCACACACATGAAAAAAGGAACAAGAGAGTGAGGTTAAAAAAGATAGGGGTGAGCTGCAAGCAATGGCAGAAAGTATGACTGACATGAGTTGGATGAGGGCCTATGCTTCATTGTGGGATTAAAGAGCAGAAGAAAATAAAGAAAACCGTAAGCAGCCAACAAATACTGGGGTTATATTGGGGTTATATTATACTGGGGTTGTACCAGGGTTATACTATACTGGGATTATACCAAGATTATACTATACTGGGATTCATGCTCTGTGTGACGCTCTCAGCAGGCAGCTAGCTGTTCTGTGGAGAGAGACTAAGCCATATGGGATAAAACCTGGTTCAGTCAAGTCGATCCTCCACCTTTACCTCTACATTTTCTCAAAATGTGGTAATCAAACCCACACAAGGTTGTATAAACATTAAGGCTTTTGTCTGACACCATGCAACAAAACTCCGTACCAACACCTTTTCTTTAGCATCATGTTTTTCAGTGCTGCTTGATCAGTGGTTAGTGAGGATTATCATCCCAGCACTCCAGACAGAATCAAAAATGCGCTGATCTACTCCTCAGAACCTCCATGAGAATGAAATGACTGATGTTGCCTGTTCTTTATTGATGAATAACTGTCTTGTGCCCTTGGTGAAATGGTAATTTCATGCAACTCACTTCCATGTTCACCAGCCGGGACAGAGATGGGGATTCGTGCTTTTTGCCATGTTCATCTTTACGGTAAATGCTGCACACAGCACTGATAATTTCGCTTCTGTCAAGTACCAAACCAGCCATAGCAAACAAAGTGGCTGGAAGATCATCCGCACACTTGTTGCCTCAAACACCTGAATGACCTGCTGAAAAGAAAAGATTAGGCCATTCTTTCGTGCAATGCTACAATCCATTATGGTCTTGTAAACTCAAGATGAACCCAGCACCACTGTAACAGACATTTTGTGCTGAGTATCAGCCCTTCTTAGACACTCTGTAGTGAGTGCCAAAACCTTTTGTTTCCAGAAAAAAAAAGCCCTAGTAAATACTATTCAATAAATGTTTGTAGTTTTTTAGTAACTGTTTCAGTTTTGAAAAAACAATACAAAAGTCTTACCTCCTACACCAAAATTCTGGAGGACGCCCTCCACAAAACCAACCGTGTACAATGCACAGGATAAAACATTGGCCACATAGAAGAGGAAACCAATGCTTCCACCAAATTCTGGTCCCAGAGCTCGGCTGATCATGTCTGCATTACTGGAGTTAAGGATAGTTTTCCCTTACGAGAGGCATACCATGGAAGGGACTGGGTCTCACAATGTAATATTCTCGAAGACAATAGTGTATGCACTAAAGCCAAACTCCTTAATAGAATCAGTACATAAAAAGGTTGTTCAAAAGTGGGGGAATTAACTTTACTGCATTATCTCAAATGGCTCGGTCTCTTTTAGCAGAGTGGCATAGCACTGAAACCAAATAGCTACAGAAAGATTCTTGAAGTACCATGGACAAGAAAAGATACAGGACATTCTAAAAGGTCTGAAAATCTTGGTGTGAAAACTGAAGTACTTGAGCCTTACCCAACATCTTCAATGGCTTAGGTAGAAAAGCAAAAGTGTGTATGGTACCAAGACAGAGGGGCAGGGGGTGGCAGCACATCTGTGGGCACAAGACATAGGAGACATCTTCAGCAGGAAAGTGCATGAGGTCAAGAGGGTGGTTGCTGGCAAAAGGCAGAGTATCTTTCAGAGGCAGTGTCTTTCAAGTGGAGTGTGAGGTCAGTAACTATCTGAAGAGGATGGTGATAATACATTCAACAGCATTCTATGACCTGGTGGATAAGGATGAATCTCTAACACTAACATAAATGTATGACAGGGGAGGGAAGCATGGCGCTGCAAGTCTATGCTGTCTTCGAGGCCAGGATAGGTTACCTTATAATCAAGGCCAGAATCAGCTGAGAGTAGGTCTCCAACAATCCAGAGTTGCCCACCACAAATCCTGTGAAGAAATGTGGTGATAGCATAAGCATCAGTAGCACTTCAGCCAATACTATCAAACTGCTGGCATTTTTTTTTAACCTTTTCTGCGTTGTTGGCAGGGGGTATTTGAACCTGAGGATTTAAGGCAGCATACCTAAGCTGTCCTCGTGGACTGTGCAGGGTAGGGAAAATATCTATGATGACCATACTGAGGATTCAAACTTGGGTCTCCAATATGAGTGTTAAGTATTCTTAAATATTTGGTCAGCCACTCCTCAGCATATCAGCAATAGCAGCAAATTATTTCTGCACACAAGCACTGATAAAAGTAAAAGATTTTTTTCTAAAACAACATTACCTAGGCCGCCTTCACTTCCCAAGAATTTCAGTATACCCTTTTAGAGTGCATCACTCATGAAGCAAAGTCAATTACTTAAAAAAATTCGTTTACATAAGGATATATACCCAAAACCCTGAGGCTAGTTGGTGATAGTCTAGCTACCTATCAACAGAATTAGGTCTTATTTTAACTCTTCCTTTACAAACGATATTAACTTAACCAGTCCCATTTAGCAGTTTAACTCCTTCTCTACAAGAGATAGTAACCAGCCAGTCCCATTTAGCAGTTTAACTCCTTTTCTACAAGAGAAATTAACCCAACCAGTTCTATTTAGCAATTTAACTGCTTCTCGACATGAGATATTAATCCAACCAGTCCTATTTAGCAGTTCAACTACTTAGGTCCAGCGCCGGCCACCTAAGGTTTGCCTGCCAAGTGCAGTATACAGAAGAAATTTCACTGGCGCGCTAAGTAATTTCCAAAACCAGAAATGATCTCATATAAATTTGATTTTTAGTTAAATGCAAATATGTATTGTTGGAAAAAGCTACTCTTGTTCTTTTTCTTCGATACTTCTGTTAGAAAACTGATGTCAGGAGGCCAGTAGCCTTTATAAAAGCTTCAAAACAAAAAGAGAGACAGGTAGACAGTTTGACTGACTGACAATTTAATCAAGTAAACAGTGACAGAAACATGACAGCATTTTTTTCCTTTAAAAAAAACACATTGATTATAATAAATTAGTTGTATAACCTTTATAGGATATTTCAGAATTAACTCCAGTATGGGGTCGTTTGTGATTTTACTATGCAATTTTACTTTCATTAGTTTGTCACCACCTCTGAACAGTTTGCACTCAATACCACTGTCAACGCCAGGCAGTTTTACTGAATTCCTTCACCAGTAAACAGTGAAAGGCTGTGAGACTGTTCTCATCTGAGGGTGTTTTTATGTTCTGAGTGTCACAAAGTGTGACTGAAGCACCACTCATGTGAGTTAATATTAGTATATAACAGAATACAGGCATTTGAAAGACAGTAAGAGCCAGCATAGACAAAACCAGGTGATCTCTAGAAATACACACAGATGGCACCACCCCCACATGATGATATCTTTTGCTTTCCTGACAAATCCCCAAAAAGTGTACATAAAATATATGTATAGCACCATATGACAGATGCATGAATGGTGCCAAAGTATATGGTGTTAGACATATTTACGTGGTTACTGTTCAAGATTCACTCAGTAAATGAATATGAATAAAATATTGGATTAAAGGGATCTTAGGTGGGCCTGTATGTCCAATACTTGAATCTTTAAACATACAGTTAATTCATCATTAAAATATTCCTCCCCCCCCCCCCCCCCCCCCCCCCCCCAGTCCCATTTCTCTCTCTCTCTCTCTCTCTCTCTCTCTCTCTCTCTCTCTCTCTCTCTCTCTCTCTCTCTCTCTCTCTCTCTCTCTCTCTCTCTCTCTCTCTCTCTCTCTCTCTCTCTCTCATGCATACCTGCCCGCACGCGTGCGCCCATACACACACACATACATATATTTCAAGTGATGTTGGACAAGTGTTGTAGGATAGCTGATGTTGACTACTGATGGAAAAGTAAAGTTGGATCAGTGATGAGGAATGTTGGACAACAGCTGTGGTTGATATTGACAAGCTAGAGAGAGAGAGAGAGAGAGAGAGAGAGAGAGAGAGAGAGAGAGAGAGAGAGAGAGAGAAAGAGAGAGAGAGAGAGAGAGATTGATCCCTTTTCCCGTCTTAGGTGCATCGGGTATATGGAAAGGGCATCCCATATTTTTACAGACCAATTGGCACTAGATGGGTAATGTGGTCAGCATTACGCCGGCCGTCTTTACTTCCCAACGACATACATCCTTGTACCCATTTTAGGCTGGGTCGACCTGCGAAGCCCCATACCATGATAAAAATCTACGCAGCCAGCAATTGGTTTCGATCAGGGTACGTTGGAATACGAGTCGGACTCGCAACACCCAAGCCACGGACGGCCCTGATATTGACAAGCACCACAGTAAAAATTCACCAAGAAGCAAAAGATTATGCTACACAAGAACCCTAATAGTTTTTATTAGCAGGTGACACAGCAGACAGCATACAAGAAAGTGATACAATTAAAAAGATATAAGATTAGGAAATCAGCAGGACACATCTTATCCTACCATCTAGGCAAAGATAAAATATATGTGGCTGGCTACAGAAATGACAGTTTTATCTTATCCAGTGTGTATATCAGATAACTGTTATATTCAGGCCCTTCTTTTTGGCGGTACTGGCCCATTTTTTCAAGGCATCCCTTTTTTTTTAATACTATAATAGACACTTTGTGGTGAGTACTGCCATCTTTTATTAGATATTTTATGGTGAGCACTAGCACCTTTTATTAGATATTTTATGGTGAGCACTGGCACTTTATTAGATATTTTATGGTGAGCACTGGCACTTTATTAGATATTTTATGGTGAGTACTGGCACCTTTTATTAGATATTTTATGGTGAGTACTGGCACCTTTTATTAGATATTTTATGGTGAGCACTAGCACCTTTTATTAGATATTTTATGGTGAGTACTGGCACTTTATTAGATATTTTATGGTGAGCACTGGCACTTTATTAGATATTTTATGGTGAGTACTGGCACCTTTTATTAGATATTTTATGGTGAGTACTGGCACCTTTTATTAGATATTTTATGGTGAGCACTGGCACTTTATTAGATATTTTATGGTGAGCACTGGCACTTTATTAGATATTTTATGGTGAGTACTGGCACCTTTTATTAGATATTTTATGGTGAGTACTGGCACCTTTTATTAGATATTTTATGGTGAGCACTGGCACTTTATTAGATATTTCATGGTGAGCACTGGCACTTTATTAAATATTTTATGGTGAGCACTGGCACCTTTTATTAGATATTTTATGGTGAGCACTGGCACTTTATTAGAAATTTTATGGTGAGTACTGGCACCTTTTATTAGATATTTTATGGTGAGCACTGGCACTTTATTAGATATTTTATGGTTAGCACTGGCACTTTATTAGATATTTTATGGTGAGCACTGGCACCTTGTATTAGATATTTTATGGTGAGTTCTGGCACCTTTTATTAGATATTTTATGGTGAGCACTAGCACCTTTTATTAGATATTTTATGGTGAGCACTGGCACTTTATTTGATATTTTATGGTGAGTACTGGCACCTTTTATTTGATATTTTATGGTGAGTACTGGCACCTTTTATTAGATATTTTATGGTGAGTTCTGGCACCTTTTATTAGATATTTTATGGTGAGCACTAGCACCTTTTATTAGATATTTTATGGTGAGCACTGGCACTTTATTAGATATTTTATGGTGAGCACTGGCACTTTATTAGATATTTTATGGTGAGTACTGGCACCTTTTATTAGATATTTTATGGTGAGTACTGGCACCTTTTATTTGATATTTTATGGTGAGCACTGGCACTTTATTTGATATTTTATGGTGAGTACTGGCACCTTTTATTAGATATTTTATGGTGAGTACTGGCACCTTTTATTTGATATTTTATGGTGAGTACTGGCACCTTTTATTATATATTTTATGGTGAGTTCTGGCACCTTTTATTAGATATTTTATGGTGAGCACTAGCACCTTTTATTAGATATTTTATGGTGAGCACTGGCACTTTATTAGATATTTTATGGTGAGCACTGGCACTTTATTAGATATTTTATGGTGAGTACTGGCACCTTTTATTAGATATTTTATGGTGAGTACTGGCACCTTTTATTAGATATTTTATGGTGAGCACTGGCACTTTATTAGATATTTTATGGTGAGCACTGGCACTTTATTAAATATTTTATGGTGAGCACTGGCACCTTTTATTAGATATTTTATGGTGAGCACTGGCACTTTATTAGAAATTTTATGGTGAGTACTGGCACCTTTTATTAGATATTTTATGGTGAGCACTGGCACTTTATTAGATATTTTATGGTTAGCACTGGCACTTTATTAGATATTTTATGGTGAGCACTAGCACCTTTTATTAGATATTTTATGGTGAGCACTAGCACCTTTTATTAGATATTTTATGGTGAGCACTGGCACTTTATTTGATATTTTATGGTGAGTACTGGCACCTTTTATTTGATATTTTATGGTGAGTACTGGCACCTTTTATTAGATATTTTATGGTGAGTTCTGGCACCTTTTATTAAGCCTTTTGGTGAATAATGGCACCTTTTATTAGACTCTGTGCTGAGTATGAAAATTCTTGCCTTGGTGATGTGATTATCTATACAGATGGCTCTGTGTTCAGAGGTAAACGAAGTGCATGTGGGTTCATAGCAAAAGTTAATGAATGTCGCTCAGTGCAGCAAAGCCTGGCATATGATATAACGTCTAGTTTGAGAATGGAGGTGGAAGCAGTCATTGCTGCCTTCCGCTGGATTGAGAATCAGCTGTACACACAATTGTAACTGACTCACAGAGCATGCTGAGAAAAGTGGAGACAGGCATGCTCCGTGCAGAGTGGCAAGCATCGTTTTAGAGGTCTAGGGTAGTTTAGCATCCTTTGGATATTTTCTCCAGGTCAAGCTGGTCTGTTGGGAATGCAGATAGACTGGCTGGTTCTGCACCACTTGGTTAAAGAGGTGATAAATATAAATAATTGTTAAATTCTCGCATCTTGTTATCATTTATGTTTGTCTTTATAGGACAATGTTTGTGCACTTTGATATGTTTTATTGGCATGCAGTGTGTGTAAGCATATGACATGAACACTTATTTTATCACACCTTGAGACAAGATTTTAAGACTTGATGTATGACAAGCTAAATGTTTTTAGGCTCCTTTATGAGTGAGTGAACAGTGGAGATGCATAAAAGGATCATTATTGTCTCAGGAGATAGGGACGCAGCGCTTATGGGAGTCACCCGACTGCTATCATTTCAATTCTTAATTCAATAATCTACATTCAACATTGGTGAGTATTGGCAACCTTTATTAGATCTTTGTAGTGAGTACTCCCATCTTTTATTAGTTACTTTGTTGTGAGTACCAGCATTTTTTATTAGACACTTTTTGGTGAGCACCGGCTCCTTTTATTAGACACTTTATGGTGAGCACCGGCTCCTTTTATTAGACACTTTATGGTGAGCACCGGCTCCTTTTATTAGACACTTTATGGTGAGCACTGGCTCCTTTTATTAGACACTTTATGGTGAGCACGGCTCCTTTTATTAGACACTTTATGGTGAGCACCGGCTCCTTTTATTAAACACTTTATGGTGAGCACCGGCTCCTTTTATTAGACACTTTATGGTGAGCACCGGCTCCTTTTATTAGACACTTTGTGGTGAGCACTGGCTCCTTTTATCAGATATTTTATGGTGAGTACTGGCACCTTTTATTAGATATTTTATAGTGAGTACTGGCACCTTTTATTAGATGTTTTATGGTGAGTACTGGCTCCTTTTATTAGACACTTTATGGTGAGCACCGGCTCCTTTTATTAGACACTTTATGGTGAGCACCGGCTCCTTTTATTAGACACTTTATGGTGAGCACCGGCTCCTTTTATTAGACACTTTATGGTGAGCACTGGCTCCTTTTATTAGACACTTTATGGTGAGCACCGGCTCCTTTTATTAGACACTTTATGGTGAGCACCAGCTCCTTTTATTAGACACTTTATGGTGAGCACCGGCACCTTTTATTAGACACTTTATGGTGAGCACCGGCACCTTTTATAAGACACTTTATGGTGAGCACCTTCACCTTTTATTAGACACTTTATGGTGAGCACCGGCACCTTTTATTAGACACTTTATGGTGAGCACCGGCCCCTTTTATAAGACACTTTATGGTGAGCACCTTCAACTTTTATTAGACACTTTATGGTGAGCACCTTCACCTTTTATTAAACACTTTATGGTGAGCACCGGCACCTTTTATTAGACACTTCATGGTAATTACCGGCACTTTTTATGGTTAGTTGAGTTGAGTCGAGAATTGTCATCACAGCACTTGGGGCATTCCCATGCATACTCTGTCTTCATCTTTAGGAGCCAGCACAAAGTTCGTTTACTGATAGTAATGATCATAATCTGGTTATTTGTCCGTCCTGCCTTTCCTCTGAGTGTAGTCAGCCGGCCAAACCCTCTGGTAACACTCAGGTGCGTCATTCTCTGCAGGCCATAAAATTTTGTTTCTCTGCTGATTCCGTTGCCTGTTCCCAAATGGCCTTGACCACATCTGCTTTCTCATGTATCAATTCACCACCTAGCCAATCTGTCTGCCTGTTCATTACCCACTAGGGCAGCATAGTTAATGTTGAACAAGCACCATGGTAGAAGCACCAAAGTATTACATTTGCTATTATTAATACTACTTTTGCACACTAAGGTAACTGCTTAAAAAACAATTTTTTTTATCTTTTTCATATCCGGTTTAAAAGAGTAACTTTAACTTTATAACAGCTAGGCCAAAACTGTTAATCACAGCTACCTGTTCATACTGCAATCCATTACTTCACAGTAATAGGCTCCAACTGTCAGTCTATTACTTCATAGTAACCAGTTTAACCTAGCAATTATTACTTCACAGTGATATTTCAGATAGCTTCTACAGTGACCAACGATATTCACAATATACAGCTGAGTAAATCTGGGAGGTCATTCTGTCTTTCATCTCCAATGAAGCATAGGCTCCCACACAATACACGCTATATCATACTAAACTTTGATATCTCTGACAGTTTACCAAATGTTTTCATCTTTTTAGCTTCACTTTCTATTTAAATTTTCCATTAGAGTTTTTGGTCTACATCTGAGTCTGTGGGTTCCAATTCAAAGAGCTGCTAGTAATCATTGTTTTCAGGTTTTCTAAACATGTGTCCTATCCAATGCCTTAAACTTTTCCTCACCTCTTGACTCAAGTGAATTTGAAAAACATCGGCAACTGCAGTCAAGCGAATATCAATAAATAAACTCTTTGAGTCCTAAGGAACGCATCAAACTTTTAAGGTTCCCGCCTAGAGGCCCAATGAACGCAAGATGTGCCGATTTTACATCTCTTTTGACTACCCCTTGAGCCTCTGATGCTAAACCCCCTGGGACTCAAAGAGTTAATCCAGTGAACTGTGACTAAGAAGTTTAATGAGTGTGGGAAGGGGGGCAAACAGGAATAATCTTTTGTTTTAGCAGTAGCAGATGTTATATTGTGTTGTACTGTGATGATCAGAATGATGATGATACTAATGATAAGGAGAGGAGGAAGAGAATAATGATGAAGAGGAAAATGATGACGAAGAAGAGAATGATGATGAAGAAGAGGATGATGATGAAGAGGAGGAGGATGATGAAGATGAGGATGATGATGATGAAGAGGAGAAGGACGAAGAGGAGGCTGATGATGGAGATGAGGATTATGATGAAGAGGAGGAGGGTGATGATACAGACAATGCTGATGAGAAAGAAAATTATGATGAAGAGGGATGACGATGATGATAAATAAGAGGCGGTGATGGGGATGATAACAGTGGTGGTGATGATGACGACGACGACGACAATAATGATGACGACGATACAAGATAAGCCCACCTGGTCTCAGAAACAACAGGGATGAAAACTGCGACAAGGCCACTGGGCAGAACACACCAGCAAACATACTCAAGGTCCTGTGTGGGTTCTTGAGATACGACCCCAGCAGGGACTCTCCATTTTCAAAACGTAAAGTTGCGTTACTCAAACTTCTGTTCAATCGTCTTAACTCTCTGTTCATCTGCGCGACATCTTCGTCGCTCTCCTCCAACAAGCCAGGATATTCATTCTGAATGTCGATGCCAGGCACCCTCCGATGTCTGATCTCTGAAGCGAACAGCGGAGTTCTTTCGTTCGAAGGCTCGCCATTTATCAAAACATCACCAGGCGCTGTGTTGAGACTCATTTTGTTAAGGTTCCCACTTATAGTGTCACTAAAAGTATTGGAAAATAACACTAAAAGACTGTTCAGGAAATAAAATAATTAAAATCGGTGACAGGGTCAAATTTGGTCGCTAGCAGACTTCGTCTTTGTTTGTGTTGCCAACAGTTTCTTCCCTTCCTATTCGATTAATATTCACGTAGATTTTTTAATTCGTATAAAACTTGTCGCATTATATATATATATATATATATATATATATATATATATATATATATATATATATATATATATATATATATATATATATGACCTCTGAAAGTACTGCAGAGTTTTGGGAAATGCCATTCTGGTCTCAAGACTCAGTGAAGGGAAAAACCCCACTGCACCTCCACGCGGTAGAGGACGGTAAACACACTGCGGTGTGGCCAACGCAGCTATGGGGACCGAGTACCCGCTATGATAAGTTTACACCTCTGGGGTGCCCTCTGCTGTTAGCAGGAGCATAACAGAGCAGGGCACTCACTTGCCCTAGCAACTGAAAAGGTTGCTGAAGGCTGAGGACATGGTCTAAAGCCATGTGGATGTGGAAAGCAACGGGAAACTACCACATTACTATCCCAAGAAACTCATCATGGAAGCCAAAAAGCTATAGAAAGATTCTCAGAATATCTTAGACAAAGAAAATGAGAAATATTGACATCTTAAAAGATCTGAACATCAAGGTAGATTGGCTAATAAACAGCATCCTTTCTCGAAAGCTAAAATATTTTGGTCATATCAAGCGCCACGACGGATTGGAAAAAATTATAGCAGAAGGCATGGTACCAGGAAGGAGGGGCAGGGGCCGACCGACACGAAGATGGGCACTGGATATAAGTGACTCCTTGGGTGTGAAAGTTCATGAGGCGGGAAAACTGGCGAGAGACCGAGTTTCTTTCCGGCAGACTGATGAGAGCGACGTTCTTCAAAGGACCTTCTACATGATGATGATGCGACTAACAAAAGGCAGGAAACTACACATAACGACATAAGCAGTAGGGCAAAAGAAAGGAAGAAGATAAGCACGTGAACCAGTGTCGTAAGTATATAAACCACAGATGATCTGCACCAGCGATTTTCAACCTATGGGTCGCTACGCTTGTGGTTCGAACTACCCTTTTACAGGGATCGCCAAAGGCTTTTGCAAAATACATATTCACTGAAGTTTTGAAGTAGCAACGAAAACAATTGTAAGGTGCTGGTCGCCACAACATGAAGATCTGTATTAAAGGGCTGCGGCATGAGGAAGGCTGAGAACCCCTGATCTACACAGATCGGTATCACATCCAGCAATTTTTGCAGGAAACTAAGCACTTATAATCTTTTTGAAGTGTATTGATAACGAGTATGTGGGTGGGGGGGGGGGGGATAAAGAAATTGCGAGAATTATGTATTTTCGAAAGAAACACAAAATTAGACGTGATTTAGATTACATATACCATCGAGTGATAATTACATTACTGAAAAAAAATAACAAACTAGTATCATGTGTCCAATTTGTCAGTGGCATAAAAATTGGCTATTTACCGTAACTTTACTAACACAAAATAAACCACAAGTTAAAATTATTCCAGAAAACTAACTGAAACAAATGGGCTCGCCACCTAATACAAATGATGTCATAAAACAGAAGTTATCATTAACTCTGATTAGTTTTTCTCGTCCACTTAAAACAAACAACTAGGCCTAAATTTTACTAGTGATATCATCAAGAATTTAGGCTATCGGTTTTTCTGTTTGTTTGTTTAACCCTTTTAGTTTCAGACGTTGCCTTGTCGTATATTCCCAGGTGATTTGATTTTCTATATAGATGGCCCTGTGTTAGAACCAGATTAAGTACGTGGGGGTTCATAGCAAAAACGAGTGGACGTCGCTTAGTGAAGCAAAGCCTGGCATATGATATCACAACGTCTAGTTTGAGAATGGAGGTGGAAGAGGTCACTGCTGCCTTCCACTGGCTTGAGAATCAGCTGTACACATGCCTTGACTGTCACTGACTCACATAGCATGTAAAGACAGGCATGCTTCGTGCAAGGTGGCAAGCATCGCTTCAGAGATCCCTGGCAGTTAGCGTCCTTTGGATATTTTCTCCTGGTTCTTTCGGTGTGTTGAAAAACGAGCAGAACGAGCAGACGGATAGACTAGTCGGTACTGTACGACTTGGCGGTGAATTTATGTATTGCAAGCTACTTGCTGAAAGGGCCTTTGGGAGCAAGTAAGAGCGGAGGCCAGGGTTTATGTGGCTGATGGGCTTGCTGACCGCTGATGCTTTAGAAAAAACGTGTCATTTTCTGCAGTTTGCTGATTCAGTTTCTCAATTCCTGGACTTTGAGTCCAAAGGTTCTATCGCTTAGCTGCTTTGTTCAGTGCTTCAAGCAACACTGTGAGGTGTGGCATTTCATTGCAGTTTTCTTTTGAGAAAGCACTAAAAATGGCAGGTAGCCGATTACGTTCAGAAACAATGATAGAATGAATGAATGAATGAATGAATGAATGAATGAATGAATGAATGAATGAATGAATGAATTGACATCATTCCACCTGGGACATTCCCACACGTGATCCGTACCCCCCTTTTTCAGTAGCCTAAGAACAGCTGAAAAACTTACAGTATTGTACGTTCAGAATGGCGTGTGCTTATGCAGCACTGTGTGTGCAACGCCCGCTTTCGTGACCGATTGTTTGCATAAACATTTCGCCGCAATTATAACGGGAGACTATTAATGGTGGGATATTTGACGTCTGCTTTATACATTTACTTTGCCATTGCGAGCTTGAATATGTCTGCTGAGATACATATTTATCACTACTGTTTCAAACGGTACAGTGACGGATATTGTGTGCGATTTTCACTGGCACAAGAGCGGAGCAGTTGTGTGGAGACCCATTTCCAGTGAATTGGGAAATTCGAATATCGACTTAATAAGCACATCATTCCCTTGTCGAGATACAAACACACACACACACACACACAGAGAGAGAGAGAGAGAGAGAGAGAGAGAGAGAGAGAGAGAGAGAGAGAGAGAGAGAGAGAGAGAGTTAAAATTTATCAGTTGTATAATCAAACATTCAGGTTATCAGGTTTTTATAACACATCAGAGCGAATGTAATAGGGAGATGGGACGATAGGCGTGTGCAAAAATGGCTTCGTTTTGTAAAAGGGGCGTTAAATTGATTAATAACTGTTAACTTCTCGCTTCTTTTTATTATTTGTGTTTATCTTTAATCGAGAATGTGCGTACACTGTGATTTGTTTTATTGACATGCAGCGTGGGTAAGCACGCGGCATGAACACCTACCTTATCACGCTTGAGACAAGACTTTAAGACTAAAAGAGGCTATATGCACAGTTGGTAGCATCACGTAGCAGGTACTTTGCAGAACGTCGCTTTCATCGCGGTCTACTTAAAAGAAATTAGTCTCTCTACCGCCTCGTCTACTTTGATATTCAAGCAGTCACTTATATTATTTTACTAAGCTTCGTATTGGTCGGCCCCTGCCCCTCCATCGAGGTACCATGCTTTCTGCATTTTCTTTCAGTCTGCAATGGTGCTTGATATGACCAAAATATTTCAGCTTCAGTGACAAGATGCTGTTAATTAGCAAATTTTCCTTGATGTTCAGATCTTTTAAAATGACAGTACTTCTCCTCTTATTTACCCATTCTGAGAATCTTTCTATAGTATTTGAGCTTAAAAGCTTCCATTTGCTTTCTTAACGACTGTATGTGAATTAAAATGTCACTACCGACCTAGGACAGTAAAATAGGGTGTTGTCGTTGAGATGTTTACATTGAGCGAGCGTTGAGATGCTTACATTGAGCGAGCGTTGAGATGCTTACATTGAGCGAGCGTTGAGATGCTTACATTGAGCGAGATATCTGGATATCGTCCATGTGGATTATTTTCCCTGGTAAAATATTTTGTTCACCCGATATCTGTGATCGATCCAAATGTTTTTAAACTAATCGGCCCTCGATAAATAATGTCATCATTATCAAGCCGTCTGCATTTATTATTGTGACAAATCCTTGTACCCATTATAAGAAAGATAATTGAAATAATGCGGATACAAACAATTCAATGCACAATTTATTGCCAGGCATATTTCGCTGAAACTCATCAGGTGCGGTACTACAGAGTTACATCAACAATGATCTGTAGTAACTCACCTGATGAGATACAGCGAAATTTGCCTGGCAATAAATTGTGCAATGTATTGTTTGTATCCGCATTATTTAAATTCATTACGGGAAAACATTGTTTTGAGGAAAAGTAATTGTTTTGCCGACTCTGAGTATCAAACGGAGAAGGTAATTTTCTAGTCAAGCTGGCTGATTAAAGTTATTATCATCATCATCGCTTTTCCAAAGGTATATTTGTCCAGGGCAATGACTTCAAGTTTAAAGTTTGAACAATGGATCAACATCACAGCACACGGGTAGTAACCCTTAAGAGCTCCGTTCTTCTTCTAACTCAAGACCGAGTCTGAAGAAGCTCAGCACAGTGCACAGGCTCTGTAACACCGGCGAGGATCCTGAAATACTTTAGGTAGATGACTAAAACATGTTACCTATTACCACATCATTGACTTGCTTATGGGAGGGGGGGGGGTCACGTTTAACTAGCATCCCCGAAATGAAGGGAAGGGTTGGGGGGGGATTTAGGTTATAATTGTGACTAGGGTATGTGAGCCATATAAAATGGCTTAGTATTGCTTGCCACTAATTAAGTCTGGAAACAAACAAACAAAAAAAAAAAACTCTTGCAGTGTTAATGCGATCAAAGGAGGCAGTCACATATACTGTCCCGACTGTCGACGAAGTCGTTTACCAGCGAACAAATGAGCGAACCGGTCATCGATGCTTAATGTCAAATGACATTCTGCCTACGCAATTTATCTACTACCCTTGCTCATTCCTTTCACTACAACCTTAGTGTGCAGTCACTACGCTGAATGTTTCGATAATTTTTTTTTATGGA